ATATATATATATATATATATATATATATATTCTCATATTATTTTTAAGGTTTAATTATATTTTTTATTCTTATAAATTTTATCTTTTAATTTTTATAATTAAAAATATTTTATGTTAGTTCTTAGATATACTATTTTTTTAACTTTTGTTATCTATTATTATAGGGATTAAAAGAAAAAATTTATATAATTATAGGAATTAAAAAAAAATTATACAATTAAAGTATTAAAAAGAAAAAAAAAATTATGTGATTATAAGAACTAAAAGTAAAAAAAAAATGATATATTTTATATTAAAAAAACTTAATTTTAGAAAGTTAAAGGTAAAACTTATGAAACAATTGAGACCTAACAAATTAAACCAGTTTTAATATATAGATTAAAAAGAACTTTCATGAATGAAGGAGTATGCAAGAAAGTGTGCATATATTTGTAAAAGGGAGAAAAAAAAAAACTAACATTTGGTTAATGGACCAGAACTGGGCCCCAGGAGCTGCAATTCAAAAGTTCAAAACGCCTAGAAAAAGAAGCGTAGCCGCAAATCCAGAGTCCAGAGGCAGGGAGTATCCTGTTGTGTAAAGTAAAAGAATTAATAAAGCACATTGGTACCCCGCTAATCCCAATCACAATGACTCTCATCTTGCGTTAAAAACGGACTCCATGACATACTAACATGTATCGTAATCTTTTGAAAAATTGAAAAGCAAATGAACTCTCAACTCAACAAACTATGTGCAATCCGTTGAGATCGAACGTGAGTTGATTGCGTTGTTTAGGGATCATTCACTTTTTCCAAGATGAAAACGGTATCCGATTGGATCGATTCGTGTTCCAAAGAGCAACTGAAGACATACCAGGAATGGTTCAACTCAGCCGATTCAGGTTTTGCTACTTCGCTTCTTTTCATTCTTCATTCCGTCTCGCAAACGAATTCAACCGATTTTTTTTTATTTTTTTATATTCTTTGATCGTAGATGGAGACGGTCGTATGTCTGGGAACGATGCAACCAAGTTTTTTGCTCTCTCCAACCTATCTCGCTCTCAACTCAAGCAGGTGTATATTCATTCCTTTTTCTTATTCTTCATTTTTCAATTACCAATAATAGGTCATCAATTTTTATGTCATTCTCAAATTAAGTGACAGGAACTCATAATTTTCCTATTATAATCATTCTTCATAAGTTCAGTTGCCTTAATTGTATTTTCGGTTTTAGTATGAAATTTAATCGATACTTCCTTATTTGTCCTCCATAGATTTGGGCAATCGCAGATGTCAAAAGACAAGGATTTCTAGGTTTTCAAGAGTTTGTTATCGCAATGCAGGTTTGAAAATTTTGAAATATGGACTCTTCGTTTTAATATGTGGCATCTGATCATGTCAGCATCTGACTTTAAATTGAATGCTTGTTGTAATAAACAGCTCGTTGCCCTGGCACAGACAGGATATGATATCAACTCAGATATCCTTAAAACTGAAAGTAAGTTCACTAATGTAATGTCCTCCATGCCTGTTATTTTTTTTTTTTTTTTGTATTTAACTTTACCTTATCAGATGTTTCCACACTTTCTTGTGGAACGTGTTCAATATGCGGTAGTAAGGATGCTTAGGTGAGGTCTCGTGATCTCTTTTATATGCTTGTTGTGAATCAGTTGGTGTGATACTAGGCATCAGTGTGTGACCCTACAAGGGTGAATTAACTAATATATCATATATGTGAAAGAAAGTTCATTCACTTCGTTGAGCTTTTATTTCTCAAGTTCTATAATTTAAATTTTAAGGAATATTGGAAGAGCAAACAAAATTGAGATAATATGTTGGTCTTGATACGTACAGAAATGGACAACATACTAAACTTCTTAAGCCACCTAAACAGGGAGGGTTTTGGTCTCAATTTTAGTATTGGTTTACAATATTGATGCGCCTCTCTCTCTCTCACATATACAACACATATCTATATATTCCCTCAGTCTCATGATAAGTGTCGTCCTAATTTATTTTACGAACCAAGAAAACAAATAGATGAAAGAGAATAAAGATTTACAAAATTAACCTTATAATTAACTCTCTTTGCTAAAAAGATGTAATTCAATAACTACTTTCTAAATAATATTATTAGGGGTATAGATGGTAAAGAAGTAATTAATACTATATTGAAAAATTAACATGTCCTTTATTTTGAGACTTATTTTTTCTTCTAACATAACTTATTATGAAATGATGGGAGTATTATCTATTGCATTCAAAGAGACAAATTTCCCTTTTGTCTAACTTCATTGTCAATATACTTTGTATTATTTAATATTCTCTCTTTTCAATGCATTTGATTATTCCATTTCTTTTTATTTCAGTTGACAAGGAAAATATTCAATGTCCAGTTATGGAAGGGCTTGATGCTTTAATAGCAGTAAGTGATGTTTTTTATATCTCACTTTGTCTTTATCAATTAAATCATATTATTGTTGTTGATCTTTTTTAATGTCTTTTCCTTGTATTTTTCAGAAGACAAAAAGTTTGAAAAATGCCCAACCTGATGCATTTGGTTAGACTTGTACTTTTAACATTCATGATATTGTTTTGTTTAACTAATATTAATTACATTATTTTATTGATAATATGTAGGGAATGTAGGGACTTCTCAACCTGAGTCTTCGCCACTCAATTCATGGGCTTCTCAAAAGTCTGTAAAGAAAGTGAGTCCCCCAAATCGAAATCGCATGCCCATTTTGACAAGAATAGGTGCTTTGCTTTTATAAAAATGTAGAAAATGAAAGGTCACTTTGGTTATACAGGTGAACAACCAATATGTGAAAATGACGTAAAATTTTGTATATTCAAGTGAAGACTGTAATGAAGTAATGATATTAATTTTCTGGTGCAAAAATAACAGGACACCTTTTAATTAGTGATTTTTTTAAAATAAAAAATAAACACTTTAATTATTTTTTGAGGTGGATGCATCTAGACTTGATAGCGATCCTGCTTGCATACATTCGTTGCCTTGACAAATCAGTTGATGCATACTACAAGGCAATATTCGACTAATTCGAGCAATGTGATTACCAAGTGAAAAATATTAAGAATATGCATTATGAACTTTTTTTTTCAATCTCTGTTACATATGGCCTTGCTTTAATTCAGTTGGCTGCCCAATATATTCTGATTATAAAAAGTTTGGTCTGTTAGTTACCTTCGAGTGCGGTTACATCAATAATTGACGGCTTGAAGAGATTGTATGTGGAGAGGCTAAAACCATTGGAGGTCACCTATCGGTTCAACGATTTTGTATCTCCATTATTGGTTAGTGACATATACACCCAATATATAAATAACGAGTTCTAACAACACTCTAAAACTCTCTTTCTAACACTTTATTTACTATCAGTTGAAATTTATTGAAAATCACAAATTTTGATGGATATCAAAATTTATAATTTTTAATAAAATTCAGTCAATAGTAAAGAGGGTGTTACAAAAGTGTTAGAGAGAATATTACTAGTGCTCCATATAAAAAAAAAATGCTAATTTGTGTCAATTGCACGTGTGTTAATATTAATTAGCATGACATATTATTCGTGTAAATGTGAATTAAGTTTAAGAACGTCTGTGGTTTGTCTTTCAGGCCAACAGTGATTTTGATGCTAAACCAATGGTCATGCTTCTTGGTCAATATTCCACAGGGAAAACAACCTTCATAAAACATTTGTTAAGATGTGATTATCCAGGTTGGTTGAGTTGAAGATAATCTAGCAGCTGCATTAATTGAAATCCTTCATGCATAGAATATAAACTACTTCGTTGATCATATGTCACCTTCTAATTCTTTACACAGGAGCACACATTGGACCAGAGCCTACAACTGACAGATTTGTTGTTGTCATGGTGCCATACTCTTTTTCTTTTCGTAGTATTAACTTTGAAAATTATTAATTTGTTCCCTTCTGTTCATTTGTGCTTTGCTTGTGCTTACGGAGGTTCAAAGTTGAATAACTTTTTACTTGTAGTCTGGTTCTGATGAAAGGAGTATTCCTGGAAACACGATAGCTGTTGACGCTTGTATGCCTTTTAGTGGCTTGACAACTTTTGGTACTTCATTTTTGTCCAAGTTCCAATGTTCTCAAATGCCACATTCAGTGAGTTTTCTATATATTTCCAATTCCATTTTTTTCTCCGTGGCCACTGTTTGTCATTTCTTTGTCCTTGAACTTGAAGCAATTTTTTCTTTAAGCTGCTAGATGAAATAACATTTGTGGACACTCCTGGTGTCCTCTCTGGAGAAAAGCAAAGGACACAACGAAGTTATGACTTCACTGGTGTTATATCATGGTTTGCTGCAAAATGTGACCTGATTCTTCTCCTATTTGATCCCCATAAACTTGACATTAGTGATGAATTTAAACGTGTAATTGGGTCTTTACGTGGTCATGATGACAAGATACGTGTGGTATTAAATAAGGCAAACCAAGTTGACACTCAACAAGTAAGACAATATCAGCAGCTTAATTTAAACCTGATCTAAATAAACGTAATTTACTTTTTGGCTTACTTTCATACCTCGTGTTTTAACATTGTAGCTCATGAGAGTTTATGGAGCATTGATGTGGTCTCTGGGTAAAGTTCTGAATACTCCAGAAGTTGTGCGAGTATATATTGGGTAGGTTACTAATTTTTTAAATACAGCTAGCGTTTCGTGCTATATTTACAATGGCTCAATTTAAGTATTTAACAATTCATTTAAGATTGTACTGTCTTGTTGCAGTTGAACATCTTAAGATTTTTATTCAATCTCAGTATGACCACTTGATCTCTTATTTTTTACCTTTATTTTAATCATTTTATTTTATAGTTGAAAGTTGAAACATTTAAATGCATATAATTTGCCAATGCTTCACATTGCTTTCACATCACATCCATCGATTCCTTCTTCAATTAAATTGACATTCTTCGGCACTGTAAATTTATTCTACTTTCTTTTTCTTCGCAGCTCATTTAGTGATAAGCCTTTAAATGAAGCCTTTGTTGGCCCATTAGGACATGATCTCTTTGAGAAGGAACAAAATGATCTCCTTGCAGACTTGATAGATATTCCAAGAAAGGCATGCGACAGTCGGGTATGGTCCTTTTTTCATAATAATTTTTTACCTGGTATAATGCCAACAGGTGAATTATGTGCATATGGTAGATCACTGCAAGCTTATACTTACCAGTAATGCTTTATATCCTCCTACATTATCTTCCTAATAATCATTCTAATATTTGCTTGTAATATATTTTTTTTTCTGGTTTTAAAATCTGATGTATTTGGAATTGTACAGATCAATGAATTTGTGAAACGTGCTAGATCCGCTAAAATTCATGCATATATAATTAGTCATCTTAGGAATGAGATGCCTACTATGATAGGCAAAGCTAAGGCTCAACAAAGGCTTATAGATAATCTTGAAGATGAATTTAGAAAGGTATCCGAATTCCCCTTCTGTTTCCCATAAATTCTTAATTCTTATGATATATATGATCTTGCTAAACAGGTTCAAAGGGAGTTTCATCTACCAGCTGGTGATTTTCCCAATGTAGAAAACTTCAAAGAGGTTTTGGGTACCTATAGCATTGACAAATTTGAGAAACTAAAGCCCAAAATGATTCAAGCCGTAGATGACATGCTTGGATATGAAATACCAGAGTTATTAAAGAAATTCAGAAATCCTTATGATTGAACTATTAAAATGTTTAAATATGTTGTCGATTTTGTGATGAATTTTGTTTGGTTAAGATTCTTTAAAAATCGTGGATTAATTCATGTTTCGATGTCTATTGCCTGTACCCCTTCTCCAATCCATAGTGAAAATTAATAAGAATGGTCGAGTTTAGAAAATTGACCTTGTCTAATATGCCTCAAACTGAAGGACTTTGCTCCTCGCACTCCATCAACTGCACTTCCTCCACGACCACGAGTCTAGTAGTCCACCCCATTTGCAAAATCTCCATGGACCCAACCTTTGAATTTTCCTCTCCACCGTAAAAGAAAGATGGATGACCTGTTCTTTTCAAGACTCTGCCATTGGAACACACACAACATCCCTAAGCACCAACGAACCTCCAACCCAAAGCCACTGCTTATAATCACTGAGGACCATAATTCAAAATAGATGGAGTATGTGTGTCACCAACCCTTTCTTATAGTCATAGCATCTCATCCGATCTGTCTAAACTAAGAGTCTGGTTGGATATAAGTTATAAATATTTTTTAGAGTTTCTCTATTAAAAATAAAGAGTATTTTCCAATAAAAAAAGCTCTCAAAGCATCTTTAAATTTGTATATAAATAGACTTTAAGTAACTAACCAGAGAATGCAAACACCAGAGATCATGTACCCGGTGTGTACCAAACAATGTTCCACATCAATGACAAAAGGTTCAACCCTTTTTCCCTGTTCTTTGGCCACGCTAAAGTCCCCCAAACCATGGTCTTTTAGTGGCTCGTACTGTTCTTTCATATCCACGTTCACAAAATCAACGAGACCAACGTTCACACCCACTCAGACTATTCCCATACCAAAAGTAATAAGAGAAGACCCAAAGATGAAAACAGATACCTTATAAGCATTTAACAGTAGTTCAATTAAGTCAAAATTATAAAGTAAACACAAGCCGAAGAAGATTTGATAAATCCATGGAAGCCACGGATGAATGAAGCTACATAACCAGGGAGTGGTGGAGTTCAAGGATTGACTGGAAAATAAAAATCGTTCCAGGACTAAAATAAATAGAGTAAAAAAAGAGTTAAAAGGAGTTTAAGAAAACATGAGTAATTTATGCACCGAATGAAAGGAGTTAAACCCATTTCCCAATTTATTTTATTTGCCATCACCCGAGAGTAAAGGAAGGTTCATCCCATTCACTGAATGAAGATGCTCACTAGCCCATTGAACGTTTCTTTTCTTGTGCTCTCGTGATCCAGAGTGGACAATAAAGTTGGTGAAAATAGTGCTTTTCTTAAATGAAATCATTCTAGTCTTCAAATTTCAGAAGCAACGACGATGCATAATCCTTTGTTGCTGATGGTGGCAAAGAAATCAAATTATTTACCTAATCGTATCTAGACTTATGTTCCTTGGCCGGAAGAATATTCTTCGAGATCAGGCTGGGTTGTCATTACTATTATATGAACACATACCAGTCCAACTGCATATCGATTGTCGTTTGCTTGAAGAGGAGGGTGGATATAAATTACGTAATAATGCATTTGGATTTGCGTTTTTAGTGTACAGAATTAATCTCTTATTAAAATTGTGGTTAATCTTTTTTAACAAATATTTTTTTATACACATCATCAAAAATCAAATCTTTAATCACATATTTAAAAGATAAAATTATTTATCACCTTGTTAACTATCTCCTTTATCTATACTTTATGTCTCTCTGTTTTTTATTTCTATGTATTAAAATAGTTGTAACAATAAATTTTTTTTTGAAAATAGTTAACCATATAGATTAGTGAGTGAGTGTTTTTTTATATTATTATAGAGAGTGAGTAGTTTTAAAAATATCTTATGTAGGAGTAAAACTGTCTAATAAAAAATAAAAGCTAAAAAAGGTAGCTACTAAAATATATCCAAGGATAATATATAGATTCATATCAACTAGTATACAGATTAAATTTTGTTATATATAACTAAAATTTATAATAAACTATATATGCAAATACAAATAAATACTATATGTGAATATATATATATATATATATATATATATTATTCTTTTAAATAAATATTTTTAAACATATAAATTATATTTAAGAAAATAATTCATATTATGAAACAAAATTATTTTTATATATTGATAATTTACTTTAAAAATATTAACTCATAAATAAATATGAAATTGAATTAGATAAGAAGTTAAGAAAATTTTTGAAAGCTCTCCCACCAAAAAATATTTTCTAAAAATATTTTCTTACAAGATAGTCGTATGCATTTTTTTTTTTTTGTACATAAAGGAAATGTATACAAAGCAGAGAAAGAAAAAAACAATGGACTAAATCAAAGCCAAAGATGTCTGTGGTGCCTCCCATTCAAAAAAAACAAGCAAGTTTTTATGTTTAATATGCAAGGGATTGATAAATATTATAAAAGCGGTATCTTATTTTTTATGTAAACATTTTTTTAATGTTTTTATCTATTAATTATATTTGTTAGTTAAAAATTAAAATTAAAAAACAAAATATCACAAAACTTGAAAACAAGGTAACATAAAACTTTAAGGGGACATTTAATAGAAGAGAAACTTTTTCATATCTAAGAATCACATTTATGTGAATAATTAAATTTGTTTGATTAATCATAAATATTTTTAGGAATATTAATAAATATTACTTACAAATTAAATATTTTTACTATATAAAACACGTAACTTAAGGTAACATAGTAATACAACATTCATTTTAGTTCAAGAATTTTAGATTTTCACCTATCCCTATAAAAAAATAATTTGGTATAAAATTTGTAAAAATTTTATTGAGAAACCATATTTCTTAAGAATGTTCTTTTTTTAGATGATAAAGTAGAAAATTTATATTCCTAAAGTTTCCTGACAAAATAAAAATATTTTGCGAATTAAATTAAATACTCTTTAAAAGTGTGCTTGCCAATTTTTTTTTCAAAAGTAGTAACTGTATTATTTTTTTATTCTTTTTCATTTTATATTTAATTTTTAATATTGAAGCACTCCCACTTTCCCCTAGTATAAAGAAGATTTTTTTAACTAATTTACGTATTTAAAAATTAATTTAACTAACGACATTAAATTTATTGATGATTTAAATTATTTTTAAAATAAATATTTTTATTTAATTATTTCTCAATTAATTAATGTTTAAAAAATATCATAATATTTTTTCATCTAAAAATTAATAAATAAATGAAATAATAATAATTTTATATAACAAAAAATCACACTAATTTAATTATTTAATTTTGTGAATCATATCTAAAATAAATTATTTTTCTAAGCAATTTTCTAATTCGCGTGAAATATTTATGATTTTTTTTAAGACATGACACATGTTATTTATGAGTAAGGAAAAGTAATTTATTATAACGAGAAGGTCGAAGCATTGTGTCTCTAATATTTATATATAATAGGCTAAAACTCTATTTTAGTCCCTTATAATTTTTTTTTGTTTCAATTTAGTCCCTCATTAATTTTTTGTCTCAATTTGGTCCCAAACTAATTAATTGGTTTCAATTTAGTCCTAAATTAATTAATTGGTTTCAATGTGGGACTTTCCGTCCAAATTGCTTTAACAGTGTTAACTTTTGGTCACGTGGACGTCACGTAGATGCATACGTGGCATCCACGTGGATGAGAATTTTTTTGTAAACACCTGGACCCAGAACGGCCCGTTCTAAAATCGGAACGGGCCGTTCTGGGTGCACTTTTGGTGTGTTAATTTTGCATCCAGAACGTCCCATTCCAAGTGCAAAATTAACACACCCAAAATGCACCAGAACGGCCCGTTCTAGTTTCAGCACGGGCCGTTCCGGTTTTATTTTATTTTTTATATATAAAATATTAATAATTTTATAAAATATATATTATTAATTATATTTAATTATGTTATTATATCCAATAAAATAAATATATTAATATTTTTTTTATATTTTATTTTAT